CCTACGTGTCCTTTTATGAAAAGATTTTGCTCTCAATGGCTAAATGCCAATCAAAAAGCATATAAACCAGTGTTTCATTACTTTTATCCCATAATGCATAAAATTCTCCAACATAGAAAGACAAGCATGACCTCGTGGAAGTTCTAAGATGTGGACAGTGAAACTTTTTGCCTTGGAATACTAAAGACACGGTTTAATTTGACATGAAAACTCTGAAGTTTAAAACCTTAATTATGCATTGGCTGCAGATGTTTGCTGAGGTGCAAATGCTGACTCCGATGGTGCCCACAAGAGAAGTCTATTTTGTCCGTTTCTGCAAACAGTTGAGTGCGGAACAGTGGGCAATCGTTGATGTATCCATAGACAAAGTAGAAGACAACATTGATGCGTCCCTCGTGAAATGCAGAAAACGCCCATCCGGTTGCATTATCGAGGACAAGTCCAATGGCCATTGCAAAGTATGTACAAACACAAGTCCTAAATTGGTTTTCACTTTTGTTGCATTTGGACCCATCAAAAACTCAACCTCAACATTTTCTTTTTAGAAAAACCCTTGGTCTTTATTACAGTCGGTGCAAGATCTGGATACTCCTACCTAGTAAGCTAATGTCTGACATTGCGGCTAATTTTGTCGGTGGACATCATTAGTAATCATCACTTGAAAGAAGCAAGTAAATTTATTATGTTAATGAAACAAATGCAGATAAGTAATATCTTGTGAAGATAAAAGAAACATTTAATATTGTTTTATTTAGTAATCAGAAGAATTGGTGAAGGGGACTTAGAATTATTAATTGAAGTGAAAAATGTGACATAGTCTACACTACTACACATTGATCTTCGTTTAATCTTTAGGTAATCTGGGTGGAGCACTTGGAATGCCAGAAGAGTGCAGTCCATTCAATGTATCGCACCATTGTGAACAGTGGCCTAGCCTTTGGGGCTAGGCATTGGATTGCAACACTACAACTTCAATGTGAACGTCTAGTTTTCTTCATGGCAACTAATGTTCCCATGAAGGATTCAACCGGTGAGTAACGATTTCTGTTAAGTTTATTTTGTTTAAATTAAATGCTTAACAAAGGAGCTATCAGCTATAAAATAAAGAGTGTTGCATTGCATGACAAAATGTTAGGTGTTGCCACATTGGCTGGAAGAAAAAGCATTTTGAAGTTGGCACAGAGAATGACGTGGAGTTTCTGCCATGCAATTGGTGCCTCAAGCTTCCACACATGGACTAAGGTTACAAGCAAAACTGGGGAAGACATAAGGATAAGTTCTAGAAAGAACTTGAACGATCCTGGTGAACCTCTTGGCCTAATATTGTGCGCAGTTTGTTCTGTGTGGTTGCCTGTCGCTCCTAATGTTCTGTTTGATTTCTTGAGGGACGAAGCACGCCGAACCGAGGTACCACACACTTGTTTTGTTTCTTTTTTAGATTGTTTTGGATACAAATTTAGAAAAACTTCTGAGAGTTCTTTTAATAAAGAAACTCTCAAAAGTTCTTCTAAACATGTATTCAAACAAAGTCTGATACTTATTTGAATGGTTACCTTTGCTGATAATTACCATATTGTGACAGTGGGATATAATGTCAAGTGGTGGGACAGTGCAGTCCATTGCAAATTTAGCCAAAGGACAAGACCGAGGCAATGCCGTATCCATTCAAGTAAGTTATTTGATTTGGAACAATATACCTTACAAAATGGAAATGCAAACTGCATTGACCAAAACATAGTTCTAAGTGAAATATGGTATTAATTTTTCTCATTTGGCAGACAATTAAATCGAATGAAAACAGTGTGTGGATACTACAAGATAGCTGCACAAATCCTTATGAGTCAATGGTGGTATATGCTTCTGTGGACATTACTGGTATTCAGTCTGTGATGACAGGATGTGATTCAAGCAATCTTGCTATTCTGCCCTCGGGATTCTCTATTATTCCTGATGGCCTCGAGTCAAGGCCATTGGTGATTACTTCAAGGCAGGAAGAAAAAAATACTGAGGGAGGATCTTTGTTTACAATGGCATTTCAGATTCTTACCAATGCTTCTCCCACAGCCAAGTTAACTATGGAATCTGTGGACTCGGTCAACACTCTTGTATCTTGTACATTGAGAAATATCAGAACAAGTTTACAATGCGAAGATGGTTAGTCAAAATAAGATAATTAGTTGATAGAGCCAGACTTTAATTAGCCGTGATAATCTTAGGCTTTCTATTCCCTTTTCGGTTGGTATTAAGTTTGGCAAAAATAGCTTGCGTTTGTCCCCTTATTCCAATATTTCGGGGTTAGTTTTATTCATTGTTTCATTACAAAGGAGGGCTTGTTGAGTATGTATATCTGATTCTGCAGTTCTACAGATAGAAAGAAAGACAAAAAGCTATATTAGAACCTAGATATTAAGTATGGCGTGTATAGAATTATCATTTGTTAATTCCTTATGTGGTTGGTCTTTTGTAGTGAATTTTATTGTTCCTGCCTCGCATGGTTGGTTAGATGGCTCAGATTATGAATTATTGACTATAACCGGTAGTAAACTAGTAATGAGATGTTACTTTAGATTATGAATTATTGACTATAACCGGTAGTAAACTAGTAATGAGATGTTACTTTACCCAAGTTCTGCTCCAATAAGGTTAACATCTTTTAGACAGACGGTGTGCGGCTTACGTTTATGTGGGAAGCAAACGTTACAGTATTTTTGCTGCCCAGATTATAAAACATGCAAAACTATGCATCTCTAGTTTATAAAAACCAATTGTGGATGACAACAAAAGTTGGATAAAAGGTAAATAGTTTGAAAGACCGGATTTGTAAGAACAAAAAGAATGTGTTCAGCAAAGTTTGTCGTAATGAGGCTTCAGCACAAGGTTATAAGCAGTCAGCAAACACAATTGATATCTTAAAAAAATCAGATTTTGTTTGGTACTTTTCTCTGGGAAATATATTTAGCCTCATATTCCCCCCCCCCCCCCCCCCCCCCCCCCCCCCCCCCCCCCCCCCCCCCCCCCCCCCCCCCCCCCCCCCCCCCCCCCCCCCCCCCCCCCCCCCCCCCCCCCCCCCCCCCCCCCCCCCCCCCCCCCCCCCCCTGCATTGTTGGCAACGTTATAAGCCGTTGATTTACGATGGGAAATTCCTCCGCGATAAATGGTTACAATTCCGCAGGAGTATGCAAGCAATAATACTTGGGTAACCAACCCTTGTTCCTAGATCAGCATCCATCTTTCTTATTTCTTGTATCAGCATTCTATTCGCCAATAATAGAGTTCACGAGCTTTGTAAATCAAGATCACTGCATTTGAGTATCATCATTCTATTCATCAATGATAAAGTTCCTGGGTTTTATAAATCAAGATCACTGCATTTGATCCACATTATTACGGATTAACTAAAAAATTTCAACTTTCAAAAATGATTTTTGGACACCAAAGTATATGTTTGAAAAACTGTGTGCTTCGTGACAACAACGGAGAATTTCCAATTTCTATGACACAAAAATAGTGAGTACATGTAACTTCTGGATGTATGTGGATTTAGAAGAATTTTATCGCCAATACAAACATACTATAATTACATTATTCGATACCTAGTGAAACAGAAAAGAAAAAGTTATTATTTTTTTTATCAGTATAATAAAGTTTGAATGTAAAAATGCATACACAATACTCCTAAACCCTCATCACTAGGCAAAAAGTAAAAAAATAAGTATATAGGTGTTATAATGTAAAGAAATAAAAATTGTTGATTAGATACTTGAAAATTTGGAATGTTCAAATTGGATAAGCTTCTTAAATCATAAGGGCAAGGTTTCTTCAGGCTAGCTAAGAATATACCGATTTATTGGGAAACAAGACGATTAAATATCAAAGAGAATTTCGCAAGGTCACGAACAAGTCACACTAGAGAACTTGACAATACACCTATCTCAAAACCTTAACATATGTATCTATGTCAGATGTAGAACTTGTCATTCACATTTAGAGACCGAGACAAATCATTCATTACAATGCTAAAAACTTATGTCTATCTCCCCCCGGGATCTATAAACAAGGGCAAGACGCCAAACCAAGGAAAGGAAGGACCTTGGGCAGAACCTAAACGAACACTTGATGCCAGAGCCAGACATTTCATCAAACATTTAGAGGGTACAACGTGAACAAGATTCAGATCTCCACTCCCATTTCATTTGAGTATGGAATTAATTAAACAAGAAAATGTCCCGAATCCTCGGAATCATGGTGTGGCAACTTATATAACCATATAAGATATAACCCTCACACAGTAAAAACAAGAATGAATTAAAGAAAAAGACGAATATATGCAACAAGAGTCATCTAGAATAATAAGAAAGCACATAGAGTGAAGGTCGAAAAAGAGTAGTAATAGGGAAGATTTGCAGCGTTGGAATTAGAATACATAAGCATGAAAGCAAATGCAAAAGGAGTGCGACACTATGCCTGGGGCTGGGACTCAAAGGGAATGGAAAGTTCCTCAGTCTGGGAGGGTTTATTGGAGGGCCTCTTGGGAACGGGGAGTGCGAGAAAGGCCTTGGTCTTGCTAATGGGCCTGGTCTTCTGGAGCTGGACTATGTCGCCCACTTTGAATTGGTTATCCGGGTCGTGGGCCTGGTACTTCTTCTTCTTCCTCACGCGCCTCTTGTACTTTGGGTGAGGGGCCAGCCGAACCACCTCCACTGCCACCGTCTTGTCGTTGGTCGAGCACACCACCTTTCCCTGCATCGACTTCATCGCGTTTATTTGAGGCACAATGCACGGCGGTGCCCATTGCCTCTCAGTCACGCCCCTACTCGGCTTCCAGAGAAGGCCGGAGCTGCCCTTCAGGAATGGGCTTGACATTTTGGGAGGGACTTGCAGAAGCCACATTATTTCTTATCTCTTTCTCCCCAAAGGGATGATGGATAACTCTATCACCAACTATACTGCTATTATTATATTTACCCTATCACTCTATCTCTTTTGTTTCGGTGCGACCACGCTCCACCTCAATACGCTGCACCCTCATTTCTATTCTTTTCTTTCTTCTCTTATTATTATTACATTATATCAGTAAATTTAATTGAACTACTTAATTTATATATATGTAACCGACACGAATAGGATATGAAATTATTTACAAAAGTTGTATAAATTAATCATATGTAAGAGAGGGATGTGAGTGGATAGGCTTATCCATGTCCGAACCACGTGGCATCTTGTGAGTGAATTCCAAAATCTGCACAAATTAATAAAGTTGGCCACGTGGCAATTAAGATGGGATTCAAGTAACATATCAAAACCAAAGCAAGTGTGTCCCAACAAAACTGATCAAACCATGGCTTCTCTGGCTAGCTTAGCTGTTGTTCAACCCTCTACTGTCAATGGCCTTGCTGGATCTTCCCTTACCGGAACCAAACTCTCTTTCAAGCCCTCTCGCCAGAGTTTCAGGCCCAACAATTTCAGGTACCTTTCTTAATTTTAACAAATTGCAATATCACTATTCACTATTCACTACTCTACAAGTACAAGAGTATTACTATTAAACATTATTAAATCAATATGCGTATATTGCATGCATGGATCTCTTCCTTTTCATTTTATGTTTCCTGAAAACCAAAATAGGCCTCTATAGGTGCTTCTAATTGTACGTGAAAGTTTAATATTGTAGGAGTGGCGCTGTGGTAGCAAAGTATGGTGACAAGAGTGTGTACTTTGATTTGGAGGACATAGGCAACACTACTGGTCAGTGGGACTTGTACGGTTCCGATGCACCTTCACCCTACAATCCTCTACAGGTTCCTTTTTCCTTTTCCTCTCTGCACTTGTATACTATTTATTCATTTAACTAGAAGATAATCAAAGAATGCAATAACGCTCTGAGCTTAGAACTTGTTGATCTAATATATACATTACTTCTGCTTTAAGCCTTTAACGTCCTATCCTATTCATGGATAATTCTGTGACCCTTACTAATGAATAGAGATGATGTCACGGAAATGAGTTTACGTGTGCGTACTAGTACATGTTAGGAATGATCCCAAAATGATATTATGCATTGCCCTTGCACAACTTGGTCCTTTGATTGAAAACGTAAATTTATATCTCTTGCAGAGCAAGTTCTTTGAGACATTTGCGGCTCCATTCACAAAGAGGGGATTGTTGCTAAAGTTTTTGATCCTGGGAGGTGGTTCCACCCTGGCATACTTCAGTGCCACAGCTTCAGGTGACATTCTACCAATCAAGAAGGGTCCACAACTTCCACCAAAGCTAGGTCCCCGTGGCAAGATCTAATTTAGTTTCTCAATTTCATCTGTTAAGCTCCATTCCCCCCCTCTTCTTTTGAATTGAACGTGTATATCTCTGCTTGCAATGGCATATAATGTGTAAGTACGTCTAAAGCCTACTTCTATTAAATGATGTTTATTTCTGCTCCAATAGTGTTTAGAGTACTTAATAGTAATTATTTATATTTATAAACATTAACATAATAGTTTTTTGAGTTCATAGATAACCTAATAGCAAGGAATCGATCACAACTAATTAGAAACTCAAGATCTTTTAATTAATGCAGTTGATGTTATGAGTTGAGCCGATTGGCCATATTTTATTCACAAACTCCATTTCCTTGTGATGATCCTAATTCATGGAAAGCAAAACTAGTACAAGTTGTATGTTACACAGATTGGTGTGACATTAATACAGCATGATCTCTACATTAACACTGTCACAGAAAGGAAAGGTGAGTTAAAAGGACACGGGGAACGACAGACATGATCTTGTGGTAGGTATCGTCAAAAAATCCCATCTCTGTAGCTACCAAACTACAAATCCTTCTTATCTTATATGGATAGTATCTCTCTGACAATGCTTCAAAGCCGATGATTTTGTATGTTCATTCCTATGTACAAAAGGAAAGAGTCTCAATTCTCAAGTCTCCAACAAACACCTCTATGAGTCTAATGACGCGATGTTGGGCTTCTCATGACTCCCAAGTTCTCAAGATATGACCCCTTCTTGTTGGTCACTACGGCTGGAAGTTTTTGTTGCTTTGGATCATCATCGTCTTTGAAAAACTCATCTGTAACTGCGAAGGATTCTTGCTTCTTCATTTCTGAGTCACCTGGATCGGCACCCCAACCCATGAAATCTGATAATGTCATTGCACCCGGTGCTTCTGCACTACCTTTGTCTGTTTCTTCTCTAGGACTCGGCCTTGAAACTGAGCTCATCCTTCTTCCCTGTAGATTTTGAGATTGAATTTGAAAATCTGCTTGGAGTACATCATCTATTCTTGAAAGTACTGTAAAGGCCAAACTTTCCAATATTCTTGAATAGCTTTCTAGAACAGCTTGCCCTACATCCTGCCAACACAATAAATCATTTGTCATATTAGATAAACACAATATATAATTCATTCAACACAAAATGAAAAGGAATCCAGATATATATGATGTCGTGTCTAGAAATTAAGACCAAAACTAGTGTCTGCAGATATTGGACAACAAAACTCAAGCTGCACATAGGACATGCTCTTACCCTATTGTATTGGATTTTGCTTATATCCAATGATGATTGAGGAAGGCCAGGGAAACGGTGCTTTAAGAGAAGTAATATGGTTTCTGCTCTCTCTTCAAAGAGCTCTCTTTTTTCCAAACTCACTGCAGAACCCCAAGCAGATTTTGAATCTTTCTGGTTCATTTTTCGCTTCCAAATCACTATTGATGCTTCAATTCTATTCTTGAGATCCAGGATTTTATGTTCTGATGATAAGTCCATGGTTGATAGGAACTGGTCAGGATCAAAAAATTCAACAGTTATACTCCTGTATATGGAGTCCCCTAGACTTGCTCTTCCATTCTGTAAATGAAGAAAAGGAGAAAGAAATTATGTTATGTAAAAAAGATGTCACAATGTGGATCCAGGTGCATACTTTTAAGCATGTATCGGTTCTTTTGGTCTCACCTTGGGTAATGAGTCAATATAGCTTTCAGGGATCTCCATTTCTGTTAGAATTTGGGCATTTATTGCCATGGCTGCTTTAAGTACTTGATTAACACAATCTTTCTGATACTGCAGAAATTTTCTAGCCCCATCAGATAGACCTTCTGGGGGAACCTTAGGGGTAGGTAACCACCACTTATCATCATTTTTTTTCTTTGCACTGTCTTGATCTGAATCTTCTGAATCTTTTGACACATAATAGAACTCATTTTGATCTTTAAAGTTATCCAGACATTCCTGTTCATCATCCATCAGAAATTAATATTATTAACAATGATTTCAAACCAATAAAAAGCTCAATGGATAATTAAGTTTGATGATCTTACAATAAGCATCGCATCAAGCTTGCGCAAGGCGGGGATATTCATGTGGAGGTCCGTTCGTTGCCGTGTCGTCATAATCTATTCAATCCAAGGTCCAAGATCAGGTTCAATCATGTAGCAGTTATGAGCATAGGAAGAATAACATAGATATAAATATATAAAGAGAGACAAAGGGGTTACCTCCATATTTGTACCATCCTTGGACTTTTGTTGTGAAGGAACCATTTCAACAACGTAATCCGTGACTGACAAAAGCCAATCAATTTCTTTTTTCCATTTTGCTTTCCTTTCTGCCGGCATTGGTTCTAAGCGCTTTTGTTCACCATAAATAGAAGCTGCAGTCTCCGCGAGAAAATAATTATTAGAACATGTTATGGTATCAAGTAATGTTGCAAACATTTGTTCATTTTACAAGTCAATTAGTCTTTGGCCAAAGGAGGAAAAAAATAAAACGTCAACGTACCAGCAAGGTTTGTGAAAGCATTTGACAGTGCCAAAGCAGACGAAACACCCTTTCCTCCACCGGACATGTCCTCACCCAACAGCAGTTTGGCAAATCTCTCCTTCATCTGTTCCATCTCTGAATTAAACCCAGCCATGAAAGTCAAATTTATAGACAAATCCAATGCAAGTGATAAACAGAATTTGAAGATATATTAATAAGGAGATGCATTAAATGAAATGAAATGAAAGGTGGGTTGATTAGCAACAAGATTATTTATTTGTTCACCTTGCATTAGCTTGTCTTTGGCTTCCTTGACTGCGATTTCCTCCTTGCTCATTACCTTTGCTTTGGGAATCTTCTCTAAATCATTTAGAGGCCTTGATCCTTGACTTCTTGATGAGGCTGCCCCATCTTCTGTTGGTTCCAATGAGGTAGCAATGTCAACGCTCAGGCTCTTAGTGTGCCTCCCAGTGCCCTCAAATATCCCTCTAAAATTAAACAATTTGGCCTTGTAACCTTCCTGCTGCTCTTGTTCCCCTGCTCGCACCATGCTTTTTTCTTTTTATATTTGGTAGGAAAGTCAAAGTTTTAAGGTACAAACTGGCAAGAACAAAACATGGGGTGTCCCAGACCATGCAGGAGAGAAGGAAAGTGCCAGGGGAAGCCAAAGTAACGATCAAATGGGAGTTTCTTTTCTTCTTTTTTGGAGTGGGTGAGTTTGAGAAAAGGGTGGAGGTGGTTTTTTTTGTTAGCCTTTCTTTTTTGAGCTGGGTTCTTGGAACGTGGGGTGCATGTTGTGTGATATGAAATGGGATGGGTTTAAGAGTGAGAGATACAAAATTCGCATTATTTTTTTATGTTGGCAGAATTTTGCTTTGGTAAGGGTGGGAGAAATTGGATGGTTGTTGGTTAAGGTTCTAATTTAAAGGTCAAAGATAGCTAAAGACTAGGGAAGACAGTCATGCACGCTTAGCCAATTACACCTTTATTAATAACCGACCCTGACGATGCCTTCTTTAAGAATCTAAAATGTCAACGTCAACCGCTGTTGTTTTACATTTACTGCTTCTCAACTCAAAAATCTTACTTGCTTTTTCCTAGTATTTTGCCACCTCTACATATCTTGACTCTTTTATTGGATTTCATGTACAGCTATTTCCTATCCTGTCTCTCATTTTAGAAATATTTTAGTATATTATTACAGCATCTCCAATGAAAACAACTCATTTGAATTACTTCATGCATTGAAAAATGAAGAAAGTGATTTCTAGTATACCATGTCAGCATTAAGCAATTCAAATATAAATTTACTCTAATGATAAGAAATTTTAAGAAATTTAACTTTTAAAATTTTTTTCTAATCATTTATGAACCAAATTTAAATTTTTATTAAAAAAAATAATTACACTACAATAAAAAAATTACGAAAAAAATACATAATAAGTAGATATTAAAAATAAAATAAAATAAAATAATAGTAAATACATAAATATTATATGAAATTAATTTTCATTATTATTATTTTATAAATGTTTCTAAATATGTTCAATAAGATCTGCATGAAATCTGGTAAAGAACGGTTGTTTGAGGAAACAACTTTCTCTCTTTTTCAAGCAACTCATGTTGTCAGAGTCCTCCAATAACAAGAAATCGGGACTTGAATTGCTTCAAGGAATAAGCAATTCCCATCGAAGTTGCTCTTAGTATCAGGAAACTTCTTTACTTTGTTAGTTTTAAATTTAGTTTATGCAATGATATAGTTTGGGCTAATGACTAAAACAACTTATTTTGGGCTAAAATTAGGTAAGAAACGTAACAGAGACGTGTGAAAGAAAAAAAAAAAACTCAATTCCGTGAAGTAAAATATGATTTTTGATATTGGGTTCTAACATTTATGTTTCTAAGATTTTGTTCTAGTATTTAACCAAAAATGGATAATTAAGGTCCCTCTCCTTCGTTAGTTGGGCTTCTGGGCCAATTTTGCGTTAAAACAAAAGTTTGCAAGATTTCATTTGTTTAAGGAAGTTCTTCTTTATGGACGAGGTAGCAAAGTCCTTGTCACCCCATTTATTTTTATTGGAAAAAAAAAACACATGCATTTTTACAAAATATTGCTGCATATGATAATAAACGTCATGTCTCTAAATTTAATTAAATTCCAAGTTTAATAATTTATTATTTACAATCTTAAAATTCTAACCAAAACTAACGAATAAATTAAAGATGATTAAATAAAAAAAATATAATTACACAAATCTTACAAAATTCAATAACAAATTTTTATATTAACAAAAACATCCATAAAATATTTAAACATGATAAGGTATCCTTTGTTAATTAAAAGTTTTAAAACCATGCATTATTGTTCATATTAAATGATTAGGAAATAAAATAACTAATTAAGAGAGATAATAAGTGTCAATATGAAACTTATTTACTGAGTTCAAGAAACTAATAAAATTATTAATCAAATATAATGGAATTACAAGATTATATAATGAAATTAAAATTTAATGACCTAAATACAAAAAATAAAAAATTCAAAGACTTTTCCATGACCTCTGTGATCTTTCATGTATGAAATTAGGGATTTACTAAAAAGAATTTATTTGAAAGTGTATAAATATGATGGTTGTGTTTTGCTGGATAAGGAGTGTTGTTGAGGTACAGTTTCTTTAGGGGGTTAATTACGCTGCTTCAAATACCAATAGCTTAATTTGTATTTGTATTCCATTACAGACACCACAATGGAAAAAAGATGCTAAGAAGAACGCCGACTACAACATGATGTGAGGCGTCTTCAAGAAGAGAATGAATATCTCAAGAAGTTGTTGGTATGTGTATGTGGGGGGATCACAACGATTTTCATAAAATAAAACAAGATTTCAATTTCGTTTCTTAGTTTCTTTTATTTTTGGCCGGAAGATTAATTCTTGTAATGTTGTCTTCGTTTCACAGTGGAATTCAGCAAATAGTTGGTTGGAAAAGCAAAGAGGTATGGACAGTACGACCTCCCATGACCGATTAGGCCCAACATGTAATCACTGATAGGTTGCTGACCAAATTTGATCGACGAAATTTGGTAATCAATATTGTAATTTTCACATAGATTCAATTATGATCATAAATGTAATTTATGAACTTATTATAAAGAATAAAGACAATGTGTGATTTGTGAGATTATGATTAGAAATAACAGATTCGCACATTTAATACGACACCAACATTTATAGAAGATGAAAGTTTTAGAATAAGATAAATTTACACTCATTGAATGTTGTGAGCCTAAATGGTAGTAACCCTATGTTAACCATCCTATATCACAAGAGTTAACTACATTATATTAAGTGTCATTTTTACTGTAGTGTATTTGAAATTCTTAAGTATATTGAGAAAAGAAATCAAAAGGAACTATATTTCAAATTTATTTAATGTTGAAAAATTTGTTTACTTTGAGAAAAAATATATATTTTTCAAATATTTTAAAGTATTTTTTTTAAATTAATTAATATTTGATGACTCAAATTGACCAACCCAATTAACATCGAATTGGTTTAGTTTAGGTTAAGCAGAAAAAATATGAAATCTAAACCAATCCAAGTCAATTAAATTTAATTTATTTTGGTTGAATTTTTACTCAAATTCGAACTAACCCAACTCTTAAATACCCTTACATACACTAGAAGCCCAAAATTACTATTCTTTTTAAAAGATAAGCATATGATGTAATATGTTGATTTCACCCGCCACCAAATGTTAGATATTAAAATACCAAATGAGTGAGAATGTAATATTTAAGGTACCACACCTTGCCTAAAGGATCTTAGAGCTTGTAGAATGAGGGAAGAAAAAAAGTTTTAAGCTTTCGACAAAAGTTTGAAAGACACACAATTTTTGGTAAGTACATTTTGGCGCCCACCGTAGGGCAGTAGAAAACTTTCTTATGGTCACTTGCACTAACGATTATTAAGAATGACAAACAACGAGAATATTTCATCCTAATAAATGTTTTTGGGTAGAAGTTCAAACTCAAGTATAAAATCTTGGTAGAGAAAATCCATTATTTGAGTAAATGTTCTCAAATGGAAGTTAAAATCCAAGTATAAAATCTTGGCAGAGAAGATCTTAATCAAGTAAACACTCTTAGATGAAAGTCAAAACTCAAGTATAAAATATTGGTAGCGAATATCTCATCTGATTAAACGCTTTTAGATGGAAATTAAAACCCAAATATAAAGTCTTGGTAGTAAAGATCTCATTCAAACAAACATTATTGGATGGATGTTAAAACTCAAGTATAAAATATTGGTAAAAAAAAATATCATCTAAGTAAACACTCTCAAATAAAAGTAACCCAAGTATAAATTTTTTGTAGAAATGATCTCATCTGAGTATACACTCTAAGATGAAATTTAAAACCTAAATATAAAATATTGGTAGAGAAGATCTCATTTGAGTAAAGACTCTTAGATGAAAGTTAAAACTTAAGTATAAAATCTTGGTAGAGAAATTCTCATCTAAGAAGCCGACATGTTCTAATCCGAGTAAAAATTCTCTAAGGTGGATTTACCAAGTAAAAAATCTTGGACGATAAGTTCTCATCCGAAAATCGACATGTTCTCAATTCAAAAAATTCTCTCAAATGGACTTTTTCAAGTAAAAAATCCAAGCCGATAAGTTTCCATCCTAAAAGTCAACATGTTCTGATCCAAGTAAAAATTCTCTTGGATCAATTTACCAAGTAAAATATCTTGGTTGACAAATTCCTATCTAAGAAGACAACATATTCTCATTTGAGAAAATTCTCTCAGATGAATTTTTTCAAGTAAAAAATCTAAGCCAACAAGTCCCATATGAGATTTCGACATGTTCTCAATTGAGAAAATTCTCTTGGATGGTTTTTTCTAAGTAAAAAAATCTTAGCCAATAAGTTCTTGTTTGAGAATCCAACATGTCCTCATCTGAATAAAAACTTTTGGATGAATTTTTCCAAGAACAAATCTTGACCAACAAGTTTCCATCTGAGAAAACGACATGTTCTCATCCTATAAATTTCTCTCAAATGGATTTTTTCAACCAATAAATCTTGGCCAACAAGTTTTTATTTGAGAAGCTAACATGTCCTCAAATGAGAAAATTCTCTTAGAAGAATTTTCAATGGAAAAAATCTTGGCTGATAAGTTCTCATTTGAGAAGTCAACATGTTCTCAACCGAAAAAATTCTCTCAAATGGATTTTTCAAGTAAAAATCTTGGTCGTTAAGTTCTTATTCAAAAAGTCAACATGTGCTCAATTGAGAAAATTCTCTCGGGCGGTTTTTTTCAAATATAAAATTTACGACAAGTTTTTATCTTAGAAAATTCTTTTAGATGAATTTTTCCAAGTAAAAAGTCTTGGGTGACAAATTCTCACATGAGAAGTCAACACGTTCTCATCCAGTAATGAAATCTTGGAAGAGAGGTTCTCATTCTAGATGTCGACATGTTCTCATATGAGTTAATTCTATTATACGGGTGCTTCCAATCATAAAATCTTAATATGTTCTCATATGAGAAGTCAACATGTTCTCATCTAAGTAAACATTCTTGGGTGGATGTTATCAAGTATAAAATATTGGACAATAAGTTTTCATCTGAAAAGTTGACATGTTCTCAATTAACATTCTTAGATGAATGCAAGCAAGGTTGGTCCAAAGTGTAGTTTAGAGGCACGGTTGCCCCAAGTCTATCACTAAGAAGGGCTCAAATTTTTTTTTAAAAAAAATTATATAATTTTGAGATAAAATTTTTATCTTATTTTATATTACTTTTTAAAAATAAATTTATCTCTTATATATTTCTTCTTTATATCCAAATATAGAATTTGTGATATTATTTTAAATTCTTGTTATTTTTTAATTATTTTTTGTGTATTATATTCATTAAAAAGTAAAATATGTTTTTGGTCTCCATAGAATTTTCAAGTTTGATTTCAATCCTTCAAAATGTTGTCCTATTTTAATCCTTTTAATTTGGATTTGAATCACTTTTGATCCTCAAATTTATGTATATATCGCTTTATAATAAATGGTAATATAAAAATAAATTAAAATAAAAAATATAATGTACCTCTTTTATATTTTGTTAATGTTGTATTGTGTATTTAATGCTATAAAATGTGTCATTTTTAATTAAATCATGTATCTATTTTTAAGATATAAATGTTTATGTATAAGGGTTCAAACTAACAAGTTGTAGTTTGAGTGATACTGAATATGGTCCCTTTAAATAAGGCGTTAGGCAACCAACCATGTTTTGCAATAAATACTAGTTATTAGTGAAACTGATTAATATCATACTAATAACATAGTTATCAAAAAATATAAAAAAGATTCATATTTATCATTTTGCCTAGGACTCATAAAATGTCATGACTGACTCTAGATACAAGTATAAAATCTTAACCAACATGTTCTCATTTGACGTAAAGCATTCTCGAAAAGATGTTTCCAAGTATAAAATATTGGTTAGACAGTTCCCATCGAAGAATCCAACATGTTCTCACTTGAGTAAAATCTCTTGGATGAATTTTTTCAAGTATAAAATCTTGATTGAGAAGCTCTCATCCGAGATGCTGACATGTTCTCATCTTAGTAAATGCTTTCAAATGGATGCTTCTAAATATAAAATGTTGACTGACAATTTTTCATCTGAGAAACCAACATGTTTTCATCAAAATAAAAACTCTCGGATGAATTTTTCAAGTATAAAATATTGGCTGAGAAGTTCCCATCCAAGATGTTAACATGTTTTTACCAGAGTAAAAACTCTTGGATGAATATTGCCAAGTATAAAATCTTGGTCGGTAAGTTCTTCTCCGAGAAATTAACAAGTTCTCATTTGAGTGAATGCTCTCATATGGAAGTTAAAATCCAAATATAAAATCTAGTTAAATAAAATCTCATCTAAGTAAACATTCTCAAATGAAAGTTTCCATGAATAAAATTCAAGTGTAAAATCCTGATCAAATTGGCTGAATAAAGTTTTTAATTGATAAATTTTAATTGACTATTTTTGACAATTCACTCCAATAAGAAAATTCCACTTAGTCGAGATGGTGCGTACCACTTGTACTAAGACATGATAAACTAAAGCTATAAATTTTGGTTGAAGTGGTTTATGGATGCACTTTAAACAATTAAACCTCTTTTTTCCATGGACTTGAGGCTTGGGGTGCTTATGTATCGGATATGGTCGAATAATAAATGGAATATGAGGTAACAACTTATATAATTATTTATAATAATTGATAAAACTCTCCATTATAACTCTTAGCGATGTGTAACGTATTCTTTGCATGTAAAAGGTGAAGAATTAATTATAAGGTATAAGATTACACCTTTACACTACTTATCTGCCACATTGTTATCTTTCTAACAAAAATGTTAGAGTAACATTGCAAGTACCCTACATTGCTTGAAGGATCTTGGAGCTTGTAGAAGAAGGGAAGGAAAAAGGTTCTAAACCTTTAACAAATGTTTGAAAGACACCCAATTTTTTGTAAGTACAACTAAAATTGACATAATTGTTACATTTGAGATAATTGCTACGAGTCATGATTGTTATGATTGTCATTATTGACACAATTATCGATTATTGTTGTTTAACGTCATGATTAACACAATTTAAAAATATTTTGGTACAATTATTGATTTGATTATAAACATCTATCCTTAAAGTCCTTTTGTGCTTTTACACTTGTGACTAAAGGACTATATATCTTATGAGATCATGTGATTCTTTCTCATCCACCGTTGAAGACTTTCACGCATTTACCCTTGAGGTTGAAGACTTTTGACATATTATCATATATTCAATCTCATTAAATCAATATAAATTCAATCATGGACTTAACGAATTAGGTTACTGAAAACATAATTAACATATCCTCTGAATATGAAAGAAATAAGAATAAACAATACAATTAATCATTCTTTTACAAAGGGAGTTTCTCTTTAACAAATAATGTGTGGACCTAAGTTTGATAGAGGAAAAAAAAATTACATTTATCTTCCTTTTGTTTTTATATCTAGTGTTAATATTTGTAATCTAAAAATCTTTTTTATTTATGAATTTTTTATGTAAATTTGCACAAATAGACAAAATCTTTATTATTTATTAATAAAAAAAGACACTTTATATCTTATCAATGTTCGTGGGATAAAAAAATTATAAAACGATTATGTTATAATTTATTTAAAAAATAATAATTTTTATATAAATTAATTAAATAAAATTATTGAATTATTATCTATTAAAAAAATTATACAACTATCATAATAAATAATGGATAAAAAAATTAGTTAAATGTTGAATCTCCATTATATACGTATATTGCATTGCGCGATGGATGTTTTTGTTTGGCAATGGAATCAATAGGCGTGCTAATGACTTGCCCAATGCACACTTACATCGAACAACAACTCGCAAAGCGCTTCAACCTCTTCAAACTCTGGCACTATCCCTCCCTCTCCGCCTTCGCCAAAACCCACGCCACCGCCATCCGCGCCGTCGTCGGAAGCCCCAAAGTCGGAGTGGACGCCGCGACCATCGACTCCTTCCCCAACCTCGAGATTGTGGCCACTTACAGCGTCGGATACGACAGCATCGACATCCAAAGATGCAGAGAGAAATCCATTCCCGTGACCAACACCCCCAACGTTTTAACCGACGACGTCGCCGACCTCGCCATCGGCCTCGCCCTCACCCTCCTCCACAAGATTTCTCCTTCACCAAAGGTTTTCATTTAATTTAATTTCATATTCTGAGTGTTAGATATCTTTTAACGCATCATTTGTTTTGCATATATAGCTTAGTGGAAAAGCGGTTGGAATTATCGGGTTGGGAAGGATCGGCTCGGAGATTGCGAAAAGAGCCGAAGCTTTTGGGTGTCCAATTAGTTACCACTCCAGATCTCAGAAAAGAGAGTGTAATTATAAGTATTACCCTAATATTCTTGACTTGGCGGCTAACTCTGAAGTGCTTATCGTGGCATGTACCCTTAGCCAAGAGACCCGTCACATTGTGAACCGTCCAGTTATCGACGCCTTGGGCCCCAAAGGGATTTTGATCAATATTGGGCGTGGCCCGCACGTGGATGAGGCCCAACTCGTTTCCGCTTTGCGTCAAGGAAGGCTAGCTGGGGCGGGCCTTGATGTGTTCCAGAACGAGCCGGAGGTGGCCCAAGAGCTGCTGGGCCTTGAAAATGTCGTGTTGACCCCTCACGTGGGCAGTGACACGGTCGAAACTTGCATTGCAATGGCAGACCTTGTGATTGCCAACTTGGAGGCACACTTCCTTGGCAATCCACTTTTGACTCCGGTCTACCCTCTTCTGAGAAGCTGAAAGGACTTTTATTTTATTTTTTTGGATTAGTATTTGTTCACGTGTCTTTATCTCAACCATGAAGGAGATGTAACATTTGGCTCGTCGTTTAATATATTATTTTCAATTCACTTTTTAATTATATTTTCATCACAAAAATTATACCATTAAACAATACGCGTGTACAAAAGGATTGCTTTTCTTGTTCCAAATATCATTGTGCAAATAATATCCTTCCAAGTTATCTAAAAAGGAAAAGTTAAAGTACTGACTGACCCACAGACCTGAAAAGAAAAGAATACTTGTCCCCACTCTCCACTCATACAAAATATCATGACCCGTTCGTTTCTTGGGGTTCCATTTCTAATCTGATTTTAATTTCCCCTAATTTTATTATTCTCAGATAATTGAAGTTGCTGTAGCTATTTAGTCTTTATGATTCACACTCCTAATCTATAACTTGATTTATTTCTTCTGATTATGGGTAAAGAGTGGTTGGACAGAGAACAGATAATATCCAGAATATTCAGATAATATTAACCATGAAGGAGACCTTATCCAAAGCATAAAAAGAACTAAAGCAGAGAAATTTTATCACAGACACAGTGAGCCAAATATTTATCATATATACAAAATCAAAATTAGCACCGATCACACAGCAAAGCACCCTTCAAAACATGAAAAGGGTCCAATTCATAATAACTTAGAATTACTGCTTATATTCCCTCAAATCACAACTTTCCCTGTTCTTCCTCCCCACGAATATCAGCAGTCATAAGCTGTTTGAAGATGAGGAAATTGAGAGTCTCGAGAGTGAAGTACACGAAAGTTCCCTTGGAGTGGGTGAAAAAACACCCAAAACTTGATCCCACCACACACTGCCAACCAGAACCGTACTTAGTATCAAACTCCTGCCAGACAAACAAACCATAAACCCAGTCAATGACCAACACAAACTTTTTATCTTGTTACAGAAAAATGATACTGAAATTAGTCTTCTAGATACACACATGACATTAAATTAGTTTCTAAACTTTAGGTGTTAATTATATTTTTAAATATAAGTTAAGACAATGATTTAATTCTTGAATGCGCAATTAATGTCTAATAGTTTTGAAAGGACCAGTTAATGTTGTGTAAGATTGAAGGAGGGGAGAAAAATGTAACCTTTTTAATGTGGGCAGCAATGGATGTGCAATCAAAAACATCATAGAGATCCAAAGCTTCAGAAGCGGATGCCATGGCTTGGATCTGCATCTTAACTGGCATGTCAGTGTCCTCTATCACAGCTTTACCTTCCAACATGTTTTCACTCCTAATTAAATTGAACTTGCTGTTACCCTTATATCTTCTTACACAGAGAAGAAGGAAGAAAGGCTTTAAGCAACAAATATGATCCCATTCCAAGTGTGAGCGAATCACTCAAATGACCATAAAGCTGGCACACTGAGGCACATAGTCCAACTTTTCTGTCCTTACTTGTGATTGCGTGCAGAGAATTTTGGCCTTATTCTATAAATGTACATCAATAAATCTCTCTCATGCTCTTTCGTCATGCTAAGAAATTGATGCCAAAGACGAGTAAGAAACTAAGGATAAAGCTGGTGAGGCCATAAATAAAAGGAATTTTCTCAATTTGAATAGCTGCACCGTTTCTTGGAAGTTGGAACTTGGATTCAATTGAGCTAACCCATCCTGTGAGTTTTTTCTTTCTTTCTTATTTTTTTTTTGATCAGGACAAATTTTTAAATGATTTATAAAATAATATAAAAATGATTATTAATTTAGTTCACTTTCACATTGTCCGCTATAATTTATAAAGGTTGTTAGAAAGTTATAATACACACAAAAAAAAATGTTCAAAGACATGATGTGGAGCATTTTTACATGTACAAAAAGCTGATTTAGTCAGTAAGAAAGAAATTCATATCTTATGAAAACGTAAAATTGATTTTTACTACATATGTGAGGATGTTATTAATAATTAATATGATATATAAATATATTTGGTTTTTTAGAGAATATATAAGATTGTATAAAAGACTAGACATATTTGATAGAGCTGTCAAAGTGGGCCGGGACCCGTGGGCCAACCCGGCCCACCTTGAAAACGGGCCGGGCCGGGCAAAAAAAAATTGAAGTTTTATAGTAGGTGGGTATATTTCAACCCGGCCCACTTTGACCCGGCCCACCCGGGCTAAACCCGTGGTGGGCCGGGTGGCCCACCAACCCACCATTTTTTTTTTCAATAAAAATTTGAATATGATTTGTAGTTTATTTTGTATGATGATATATTGAAAATTTTTATTTTAAACTTTTATCATGATTTGTATTTAATTTTGTATGATGAATTATGACTTATAACTATTAATGATGTTAATTTTATGACTATTATGTTAATTTATAATTAATTTAAAATTTTGAATTTTATTAATAATTTTTTTTTAATTTTTGGTGGGCTGGTGGGTTGCCCCGTATAACCCACCAACCCGTGGTGGGCCGGGCCGGGCCAAATTTTTTTTGAAAAAATTACAAGTGGGCCGGGTTGGGTTGGCTCGTTTTTAAAGTGGGTCAAGGTGGGCCGGCCCACATGTGCCGGGTTGGCCCGTTTTGACAGCTCTAATATTTGACGATTAAAGGGAAAGAAGAGAACAACATCTACTGCGTAATAGTAGTATTTCACAAAGAAGTTTTGCCTATTAGAGTTGAAATACTAGGCTTTAATCACATGGACATGGCAAGCCCAAATGTGATCTTTGATATCACATATAAAAAATTTAAATTTTAAATTTGTTAAAATTTCCAATCAATAAGAAATAATTCTAACTTTAAAGATATACATGAAAATATGTGATTAAATAATAATATAAAAAAGTTATACTATTAATATATTCTAATTAAATTCTTTAAAAATTAACCTACGGATTCAGAAATTAATTTATGAAATCCTATATAATATGCAAAAATTTGGAAGACTATCGTGATGACTTCATGATTAAGATGTAGCAATATTATCGGGAAATTATAAGATGCAATTCACTTTTTCCATTTTAGATAAGGCTTACATGAATGGATAATGAAATATATGATTAGGAACAAGTCGGGAAGCACTAGCAGACAAGTTCATCCCAAATGGAGACTAGCATGAATGATTTTCCAGATATTTTAATAGCCAGAAATATCAACACAAGATATGAGCTGAGATTATCTCAACTCCTTTAAATAATTGAATTAAACAGTTCATTAATCCAATTTTTGACCTTCATTTTATTCCCTCAAATGAAGATAGTATATATAGACGAACAGGATTAAAAAATCCAATAAATTAAGCTTAAGAGTTAAGAGTGCCATAAAAAAGAAAATTATGTTTAACCAATACTTTGTTAAAGCAAAAAAATGAACTCTTTAAATATATTTTGTTGCGCAGGATATCAACAAATCAGAGTGGCGCAGCGGAAGCGTGGTGGGCCCATAACCCACAGGTCCCAGGATCGAAACCTGGCTCTGATATAAAAGAGAAGGCTTTCCGCTCACAATATTTTTTAAAGAGACAATCTGGGCTTGTTTTCCACCCTGATACTATTTGGGTCAAATGTGGGCCTTGATTGAATTTTGAGAGTCTCTATGCTTGTAGGCCATACGAGCTCAGTAGTACATGGGAAACACTTGAGGCCCAATTCCCAATTCCCAAACTAACATTCTTTTCTTAGAGGCTGTGAAATCTTAAACGCACCGTACGGGTGATTTCCAAAGGGTACTCTACGATTATTTTCCTACCACAAGTGAAGCTCTTTAGTCTTTTTCATTTAAATCTTTTATTAAAAAACTGTTAGCAATAGTCTTCCAAATAAGATTTTAACTCATAAATACTATCAGTGCGAAACATTTTGAGTTTAATTTTTATATATTATTTGTGTAATTTTTTTATACTAATAATTAATTAAAAATTACTATTAGTACAACTTTTAAATAATTATTCTAAAAATTATCAATCTTATCATACATCTCTATATAGAACTAAGTAATAGTATAAAAAAATTTTACATTCCTAGCATATTTAAATTGTATCCAAACAATTTTAGAATTTTTTTATTATTTTACCATATTATCCAATTTATTAATACGACAATAAAATAATTTTTTTTTATCAAATATCTTTATAAAAATATTTTATACTTATAATATACAAATTATTTGTACCAATGAAAATTAGATCAACTGATTAAACATGGTGAGTGAGTATTGCAAATCTCTTGGTACCAAGTTGGATTTTTATGAATAATGAAATATAAATTATTGTAAGTGTAAAATAATGTATATATTAAATTAAACTGTCAAACTATTTTACACAAAAGATGTTCCGTTATGCTTGCATTAAATCCCAGTAATTGTTTGTGAAGACACAACCCCCACCTCTGTCTAAAAATAATAAACTCATTAAACTAACTTCACATTGACACTTTGATTCGTCACACACCAAATCCTGCAAAACTGATCGAGTTGTTGACATTTCACACATTTCAATTTCCTGTCACTTTTTATTTCCTTTTGTGGTTTTCTAATTAGATGTTAACAACCTTGCATTAAAATAGTTTAATATGGTGTAACCAATTTTGTCATTGAGCTACTACACGAATGACGTTCACTATACAGCCAAATTCCTCAGTGGCTCAGTCGTCTTATCTTACTCTCTGTTTGTTTAGCTAATTAATCTGTTTTTTTTATTCACAAATTGCCTTAATCCATCACCAATAAACTATAAAACGTACCTAAAATGATAACAAAAAAGAAACACATTGCAGAATAGACAAACACGAGAGGACCCATAATATAATTAGGCAATTGTCCTACCCCTATAATTGAAGGTTCAAGAATTATTTTCCAGGAAGTGGCCGTGCCCCACCAAAAGAAAAAGACAAGATAATAATAAAATGTGGTCATATTATATAATTTAAATAGTTATACAGCAAATAAAAACACAAGCTGCCGACACTTATTCCCGAGCCTGCTCAATTTTCTGCTGTCAGTGAGGTTTGGTTCCGAGCCTTCCAACACTATTGTTATCCATTCCTCTTATTTACCCTTCAAGCCTAAGCACTTGTTGTGCATTGACCATAGCTTCTCTTCCATGCAAACTAACACACTCTCAAAGTGACACACACAGCTTAGTTGCGTTGTATGTGTCCTTTCTCATCATCATATATTTGTTGGCATTTTTTCTGTTTCTCACTACTTGTTCATTTTTGCTGATATTACACGTACAACACTCAAATTCAGTGGCACAAGTTCTCAAGATTGTTCTTGTTGTCTACTAGTACTAGTACTGGTACTACAAGTTTCATTCAATTCTATCTATATAGTATACACACTTATATTATCAGGTGCTTCTGTGATATAGTATATACCAAGTGATTCATGATGTTGTCTACAAAATCTGAATCGGATATTACAAGCTTAGCACCATCTTCACCTTCAAGGTCTCCAAAGCGTCCTGTGTACTATGTTCAGAGTCCTTCAAGGGATTCTCATGATGGGGACAAGTCATCTTCCATGCAGGCTACTCCTATATCAAATAGTCCTATGGAGTCTCCTTCACACCCTTCATTTGGGAGGCATTCTAGGAACTCTTCTGCTAGCAGATTTTCGGGGATTTTCAGGTCATCTTCTGGAAGGAAAGGGAGTAGGAAGAGGAATGATAAGGGGTGGCCTGAGTGTGATGTGATTTTGGAAGAAGGCTCTTATCATGAGTTTGGAGACAAGGCTTTCACAAGGCGCTTCCAGGCCTTGATTGCTGTGCTTACCTTTGTGGTTGTTTTCACTGTCTTTTGCTTGATCATTTGGGGTGCTAGCAGGCCTTATAAGGCAGAAATTACTGTTAAGGTAAGCAAATTTCACAGTTTTGAAAGGAGTGAATTTATGCCATTTTTCACTCTTCTGTTTTTTCTTTTTTCTAGACTGTTAATTGTTGTTGTTACTGATACATGATAACTGCAGTGGGGAGTGGATAAAATTGTTTCTGATAAAGTCATCAAGATGATGTGAATGATAATTTAGAATCTGTTAGACACTGTTAGATGCTGCTGCAACAGTAATATTAAGTCTATCCATGCTTGAAATGGATTTTCATTTTCAAACAGATAGTCTTATAATTTGCCAATACCATGTTTTTTTTTTATAAGTTATGTTAAATTAATCAATTAGTCCAAATAGGTAACACTCTTTTAACAATCCGTCTCTGTAAGGAAAAACTTAAGGACTAACATTTCATATACGTCCGCATTAGTAATCATTAGTTCCTGTAATTATTATGTTTCTTAAATTTAGTCACTTTTCAATCTTATAAGGACTAACATGTCAATTTTTTTTTTGTACATGAATTAATTCCTAAATGAGTGTCACTTGTGGAGACTAAATGATTAGTTTAACCTATTAGATAGTTTATTTTCCGAACCTGTCCATGAGCTTCTATGTTATTCCGGAAACTCTTTAATATTTCAAATTAGAACATAGATATCGTTACCATTAACCCCTTAGAGACTTGGGTAGCATTATATTATGATAGTGTTTCAATGTGCACAATTTACTCATTAAATTCCTAAGTTTTGATTGGATACTCCACTTTTTAAGGTGACATTAGTAATAGTAGTATGTTCTGTAACTGCATGTGAAACAGAAGTGCTGATGAAATGAATTTATTAAATTATTGCTGCAATTCAAGGTATCTAATAAAAAAAATGAAGGGATCAAAGAACTTATAAATGCTCTCTAATTACTTGCTACATTGGAAATTACATAATAGTGCTTGACATTTGGATTCTTGCAGAGTTTGACGGTGCATAATCTTTATGTTGGAGAGGGTTCAGACTTCACGGGTGTCATTACAAAGATGCTGACAGTTAATAGCACTTTACGCATGAACATCTATAACCCAGCTACATTTTTTGGCATCCACGTGCGCTCCACACCCATCAATCTTGTTTTCTCAGACATCACTGTTGCCACTGGCGAGGTAAGATCTCTTTCATAATTGCACATTTAATTCAATCATGCCAAACCCACTTTGACTCTCACTCCCCTAATGACTAAGATGTTCATCAACACAAATAGTAACATCGGAAAATGAAAATATATCAAGTGACACACATTAAAGTTCTGTCTTGGCATGTGAGTAACATAATAACAATATAACATCTGCTTGTGCATGTAACTTGTTGCAGCTGAAGAAATACTATCAGCCAAGAAAAAGTCACCGTATTGTATCAGTGAACCTAGAAGGTAATAAGGTTCCCTTATATGGGGCTGGATCCTCCATAACTGTATCCCAAACTGGCGTTGAAGTTCCACTTACATTGAGCTTTGAAATCCGTTCGCGTGGATATGTGGTTGGTAAACTGGTAAAGACAAAGCATCATAAGGAAATCGCTTGCCCCTTAGTCATCACCTCTTCTGAATCAAAGCCTATCAAATTCAAAAGGAATTCATGCACCTATGACTGATCAATGTCCCATTTTCAAAGTTCAAATGTTTGAGACTAGCTTAAAATTGTATAATCTATGGTTTGTGCCTAGCTTTAGATCAGAAGGTCCATTTGGTTTGCAAGAGAAGCAAAATATGCACTCGGAAAATACTTCCTACATACAACTTGTTCCCTGAATCCCCCCATCTGTACTTTACTCTTATGAGCCTTGTGCAAATAAATGCATGTAAATTTCTATGTGCATAAATTGAAGAGACATTTGGGGAGTTCATTTCTGAGGAAATTAATAACCCTTTGCACACCGCCGTTGTCCTTATAGAAAACCCAACAGAAATTGGGAAGTTGTAGATTGATGGCTAATCATTTGTGTCAGTTTATGAAGAACATATAAAGAAACCATGTGTATCATGTAATCCAAATGGTTTAGCAGGTGTTCACTTCATATCGTTCGAAGAGATAGTCAATTTTGTAAACATTACATGAAATGAAATTGAACCCATGTAGGACGCATACAAAATAAACTAAACTTGCATTACTTGCGGTCCTTAAACTCGCATGAAAAGCTTTATTTAGTTGAAGATCATCAAACTGGCCGCGAGTGATCTTTCCACAAGAAAGCCAAAATAAAAGGGTCAGACAAAATGAGAAATTATGTTTTTTTTCCAAGGCAGTTTGTAGTTTATTTGTGTAGATTAACATGTTTCACCAAAATAAAAGTGTCCGATAAATAAGTTTATGTCATTAGTTTATAATGATTTATTAGACACTAATTGAAATGTTATTTGAGTTTATAACTGTAATTTACTACCATCTTTTATGTTTATCTTCACCATTTTAATAAATATTATCGTTTTTGTCTTAGAAAATTAAATTCACATAAAAATTATATAAGTATACTTTTTTATGTCTAGTGAAAGAAGACATAAATAATATACACATAATTTTAAATTTAAACCACATTATTAATTATTGTCATTATATATATAAAAAAATAAATATATACGTTAGTTTAGTGCCAATTAAGTTTCCTAATAAAAATATGAAATTTCATCCTTAATTTTTTTCTTAAAGGTCAAGGATAGTGGCAGGCTTTCACTCTCCTGAAATCTTGTTAACATGGGGGCCCTGAAATTAAGGCGCGTTCATAGTTTGTCACTATACCCTTCTAAACCAGTCCACACACATTTTAACTCATGTTATGTACCAGTGCCATTTAGAATGAGATCTTTCTCAATTTTATAAACTTTTCAAACCCCTAATCAGATCTCATTCCCAAACCCATTCTGCTAGGCAACAACATCATGTGCACGAGGAAACCCACTTTAACATTCATCTTCTTCCTCCTCACCCTTCTCCTCACACCCAAATTTAACGTTGCTGGCGAGGGCGAAGATGAGTTGGAGGAACTCTTAGCAGTGGACGAGGAAGTGGAGCGGGAAATAGCAGAAGGGGGTGGCGAGAAGCTATCCGAAGCAGAGGTTTTAAGCAAAGCCCAAAGGATCGTTGTTGAGCTCAACAATGACAACACAGAGAGGGTTGTCAATGGGAACGAGTTTGTTCTTGTTCTGGGGTACGCACCTTGGTGTCCAAGGAGTGCTGAGCTTATGCCCCATTTTGCAGAATCTGCAACTTCTCTCAAGGAATTGGGGGCGCCCCTTCTCATGGCCAAAATTGATGCTGATAGGTATCCAAAGTCTGCTTCTTTCCTTGGGATCAAAGGCTTCCCCACTTTGCTTCTCTTTCTCAATGGCACCTCTCAACCCTACTCTGGCGGTTTCACTGCGTAAAATGCTCTAACTTTACTCTTTGCATTTATGATTGCCTTAACGTGTCTTTTGTTTGTGTGTGATGTTCTTGTTTTGGAATGTTAGCATGTTGATTTGTTTTAATAATGCTTTCAGGGATGATATAGTGATATGGGCCAGAAAAAAGACTGGTGCTCCTGTTGTTCGGATAAGTTCGGTGGCAGAAGCGGAGGGGTTTCTGAGAAAGTATCAAACGTTTCTCGTTGGTCTATTCGAGAAATTTGAGGTAATTGGAGTTATTGTTTAAGGTTGTCGGACTAGAGGTGCCAAATTGACATGAGGTTCAGATGAGTGAGGATTGTGTTCTGGATTTGATCACTTCAGATAGTATGTTAATGCACCTGTTGATCAAAGAAAATGTTTTTTGTTAAAGGAGATTTAGATTGTGAAATTACATTAACGCTGAATTTGGTGGTGTGGTATTATAGCATTTTGTTTTAAAATATTGCAGGGACCTGATTATGAAGAATTTGTGAATGCGGCAAAGTTTGATAATGAAACCCAGTTTGTTGCAGTGAGTCAATTAGAGCTTGCCCAGGTTCTTTATCCAGATATCAAGCTTACCGATCATTTTATTGGAATTGTTAAGAGCGAACCTGAAAGATACACAGCATATGGTGAGTATGTAATGTAGTTGGTTTCTATAGATATGTAATATGTTGAATTCATTCTAGTGTTTCTGTAATATAGAAGTGAAACAAATATCGGTAATACTGGTATCACTTAAAGTGGCTATAATAAACAAGTGAATTCTATGTTTCTTACAAATTAGAACCATGCTAAGAGAACAAACTTGAATCTCTCGTCTTTTCTACTAACTTGAGCTGGGTAGTATATTTACGCTTATCAGCTTTATGTTATTTAGGCAGTTAAAATTTGGTGTAACTGCATTGTAGCCTTGTTTATGTATAACATGATTTTTTCCTCTTACCTTTATGTCTGTTTTCCCCCCAAACAATCACACCAAATGATGAGGACTTACTAAGGCAATATGCAAAACTTTCCTGATTGTGCAGATGGAGCTTTCACAATGAATAAAATACTGGAGTTTGTAGACCACAACAAGTTTCCATTAGTTACAAAACTGACTGAAATGAATTCTATCAGTGTCTACTCAAGCCCCATCAAGCTTCAGGTCACTATTATTTCCAAGTTTAATCTATTAGATTTTTTTTTTTTATTTGGCTTGCAGTTCTGTTTCTATTCCGACTTTTACTGGAATATATGTTGCAATTCATCAAGGTATATAGCTCCCAGACTTAAAGTGCTCCAAATTCTGCATATGATACCCCATACCCAAATATCTCTGTCAATACTCAATAATCTCTTTGATGGATTTTCTTGATAAACATTAACTAGTTATTGATTATTTAACTCTATGATTGTTTTTAATTGTTAGGTCTAAATTACTATCTGAGTGCTTTTCAATCTAGTAAGTACTTAGTACCATGACCTGATCAAATAAATACCCTGAGATGCTGCAAAGTTTTTTTTTTTTTTTTTTTTCAGTTCCAATAAAAATATAAACAAAAGCATTTAAGACTCGTGAAAAGAACAACCTGGATAGTCATCCTTGCAGGTCCTTGATCTTATCAGAATCATAACCTCTTATAGGATTTGACATGTATCAATATCTTGGTTGCCCCCTTGATGGTTGATAGTTGATAATTCAAACAAATGTAAAGGAAATAAATGTCTTTTTCAGAACTTACTGAGTAGCACTTCTTATGTGCAAAATGATTCTGGAGAATCTAAACAACCAAAATTGATTCAGAACTTGGCCTTGCTTGTTCTCCTCCAATTTGATCATTTTCAATAATTGTAATTTGGTTAAAAGACTATAACTTAAAACTTTTAAGCAACTTGTAGAAACTAAGCCATTAAAGTCTAAAGGACATGCTAAAATTTACTCCAACTCCATACCAACAGGCACCAAGTGAGTTTTCTTTGTCGTTATAATAACTTTAACTCATCACAGGCTGTTTGGACTCTTCCTTACTAATTTTACTCATTATGTTTCTACTCAAGCTTACTGGTTACTAATAGTCAAGGTTAATTGTTTCTTTCTTTACAGGTTTTAGTCTTTGCAAACTCTGATGACTTCAAGAATCTTCTCAATACTCTTCAAGATGTTGCAAGAACATTAAAGTCAAAGGTGATTAGTTACTTTGACCTACATTTGGGGCTTTCAAACTGTTTTACTGCAAATTTTAGAACTGGTCTAATTCTTTTGTTTAAATGCAGATAATGTTTATATATGTGGACATTGATGATGAGAACCTTGCAAAGCCCTTTTTAACATTGTTGGGTCTTGAAGAATCAAAAAATACTGTGGTTAGTTTGAGTTAATTATAAAAATGATTTGATCGAATTGTTTAATTAGTTTAGATAATTGTCGCAACTGATGTGATTTACTTCTTGGTGTGCTATATAGGTAGCTGCATTTGATAATGGAATGAGCTCAAAATATTTGTTGGAGTCAAAACCAACACAGAGCAATATTGAAGTATTATCTTCTCTTTTGTTTATATAAATTGTCCCTGCAGTGATCCCTACCAAAGGAGACTAATTAATGTTAAAATGGCATTCTGCAGGAGTTCTGCAATAATCTTGTGCGAGGTTCTTTGTCACCTTACTTCAAGTCACAGCCAATTCCAGATAATGTGAGTACCGTTTAATATTTTCTGCATAGTTTTCTTGGATGTGTAAGGTGTCTCTTACCTTACTTTTAGACAATTCAAGAAATTAGTTCTTTCAAATTAAAGTGAATCAATTGAATTTGAAGTACATGTAAAATATTTAAGATTCATTCCTAAAGATATATTGTGTGCTCTATGATTATAATAATAAAATAGAACAGTAAAAGAAAGAAATTATTTATGTTAGTCCTGAAACTTGATTCAGTGTCTTAATTAGTCATCATGGCATTGGAAATTGCAGACAGAAGCTAGTGTTCATGTCATTGTTGGGAAAACATTTGATGATGAAATCTTGAGAAGCGAGAAGGATGTGCTCTTGGAGGTTTGCAAAGTTTTATACATTTTATGTTTTATGTCACGTTTTCAAACTTTATTAGTTTGTTTGCGTTAGAAATATAATATAAAGTCATTCATGTGTAATTGTGTATTTACTTAATTGCTTAAGCTTTTGGGAATTGGGATTGTTGGTTCGTGTTGTGGTATCAAATCCTCAGTGACTAAGTGGTATAGAATTCGATAACTGTTGCCCTCAATCTTTAAGTAAAATAACGTTTAGTTTCAGCTTATGGTATGTGGGTTTATGCATTTTCTACTCGACTCACATGCGGGCAAATGTTAGTAATATAATATAATGCCATCCATGTCTGCTCACCTCGTAGCTTAAGCTTTTGGAGGAGTTGGTTTATGACAGTTTAGAGAAGGGGATAATTAATGCCTCCACCATTGAATTGAAGGTGTCCTCATTTTCTGAAAGTTTGTTTTAGTCAATATGGAGATTATGTCTTTTTACTCAATTCAATAAGAACGGTATTCTAAAATGTGTTGCTCTTGCTCAAGAATAATAATTGAGCAAATTATTAGTTGGGCAGCTTTGGGATATATTTTTTTTAACAGAAAGATTATCATTTTGGCTATCATTGGTGGATTTGCGCTGACAAATCATGACTGAAACAGGTGTTTACCCCTTGGTGTATGAACTGTGAGGCCACAAGCAAGCAAGTAGAGAAGTTGGCAAAGCACTACAAAGGATCAAGCAATCTAATATTTGCAAGGATAGATGCTTCAGCAAATGAACATCCAAAACTGGAAGTAAGTGTCTGAAAAAGCCTACTTGCACTGTTTTTCATAGCAAAACTCGCTCACTGAATCTGTTCTGAAAATTTATGATCCTGGGATTTTATTAAGACCAATGGTTTGTCCATAAGATTACTAATTTGATCAAGGTTTATGTTTACTGAATATGTATTTTACCTTTGCTTCATATTTCAGGTGAATGACTACCCCACACTTCTACTTTTCAGAGCCAATGAAAAGGCAAATCCGGTAATTACTCCTTGACACTGATTTTGGTGATAGAATTTGGGTTTATATAATTAGTTAATTACCACTCTACTATAACGAAACACTTGTTTTGTCCAGATCAAACTTTCTACAAAATCTAGTTTGAAAGAATTGGCTGCATCCATCAACAAATATCTAAAGGTCAAGAATCAAGTCGTCAAAGATGAGTTATAGAACATACTAAAAAGTTTTGGGAGAAAACAATTATTAATCATCTAGAAAGTAAACATTATGAAAAGAAACAAATATTTTTGTTTTCTTGCATAAGCATTGTCTAATCTTTACCCTTACCCACTCCCTTTTCTGGTGGTCCAAATATAAGTTAGTCTTATTAAAATTAGGTTTGCAAAAAGCCAGGCAAACCGCAAATGCCAAATTATCAGCAGCACGTAGAGAACTAGAGAACAAACATACTCGATACATCAAACATTGTAGCGGTCAACTATATGGCGTGCCATGAGCTCATGTTTGGTTTTACAGAATACAGATTCGTACCTCTAATAATCTGCTGCAGCCTGCAGTAGATATTCTGTGAAATGAGAGAACTAACTGCTAGCATGTCAGTAATTGTAGTACATGTTTTTTATCTCATGGATATGTTTAATTCCGTTACTCCACAAATCATTTTCCACCAAAATCTGAAACAATATATGACGAACATCATACTAGTATCAATCTACGACTTACACCAGGTTAATTCGACTCTAAAAGCTAAGGTTTATCAGGTAATTTTGGACTACATGATTTTTATAGGATTATATGATATATAATTAAGTGTTATTAATTGGATTATGAGGATATAATTTTAATTTTACATGTATTTTAAAAGAAAAGTATAAAGATAAAAAATATTGGGTTAAATAGGCCTGACACTTTCGGTCTGAATTTCAATGGTCTGGTTCTGGTATGATCTCTTCGGTTTGCTGGGTTGGGTCAACTTAATACCTTTTTTTCAGACTTCAAAATAAAGAGTCTAGTCTACTCTGTTTGATACAACTTGACAGTCATTTGAAGTTTATCACGTTTGACATTGTAATTATTCCACATGACCTAAAATGCTACCATGGAGTTAGATTTAGAAAATTATAAGTAATTCTTTTATGTTTCTTAATGTAAGAAAATGAAGCACAAAAAACCAAGCGAGGCGCCAAATGAATTTTTAACTTGTCATTGTGAACTGGAAACAAAGCATGCATGATGAGAAAAGCGATAGCATCATAAGCATGGAATCAAATTTGAGAAATCCTAAGACCTTTTAAGTCTCAAGCTTTATTTGGATAAGTTTCTCAATAAATAGGTGAAAAGGTAAAATAAAAAATAAATTTTCCAAGTTAAAATTAATTTATGTAATTTATTTTTTAATAAAATATTTATATAATATTTCTAAATGTTGAGGAGTACAAGTTATTTTTAACTTGTTAAAAAAGTTGACTTATTTTACTTTTTTTTTCCTATAAAAAAATTTATCAAAAAGTTTGTTTCAACAAAGACTAAATTACATATGAAAACATGGCTTAGTTAGTTTGATGAATATTTATATAAAGCTTAGAGTCTATTTGGATACAAGTTTAGAAATATTTTTGAGAATTTTTCTACAAGTTTAAAAACGTTTTTTATTTTCAGGAGAGAATCTCTTAAAAGTATTTCTAATTTGTATCTAAATAAACTCATTGGTTGTACTACTTGTTCTTTCCTTTGAACCAGAGGAATGCATACCTTTTTATTGAGGACTTCCAAAAACATGATATTCAAACAGTGAAGGACTAGGGTAAGTTTGACAAGCAAGGAGAGATATATATGTTTAGTTTAGAGTTTCAAACTTGCGAATAAAATTACACCAGATCGATCAATAGAAAACTTTGGTGTTAGATGCTTTCCAAAAAAAACATCTGTAACATATAAAGAGATTAGGTTCAGGCCATATATTTTCACGAAAATGTCTAAAATCACAGTAATGAAGTAGAGAACATGGGAACCATTTCCATTTTGCATACCATAAAATGATGCAAACCAGAGACTTTAAAGTTGATGCTTTGACAAGTATGAAGGGTTTTGTTGACAATATTTGTGGAGCTAGCACCAGTAGTAGTAAGGGTGAAGAAGAGATAATTGAGATAGGTTTATCCTTGTCTTCATTTGGTTTGAAAAATTGATCTGATTATTTATTTAAATTTGAACTCGACGCGATCAAGATTCAAAATATACAGAAGAGAATCGGATTAACCCAATTTTTAACTTAATATATCAATATTAATATATGTATAGTTAAATTATAAAATAAAAGAGATATAAAACTTAAATTAAAGTATATTTTATAATATATAATTTAAAATAAATAATGTCCTTATAAATATAATATAATGTTATACAAAATATTATCTATTAAAATATTTTATTATTAATACACAATTATTTAATAATTTATACATTTTAAAATAATAAAAGACAATTTAAAAACAATTCAATATATAATTTAAATCTGTCTGAAAAATTATATTAGTTCTAATTTTAAGACTCAAATTTATTCAAATTAACAAGGGACTAAATTACACCATGGACATGCTCACTCCTACCTAACTGTAGTATATTTAGGTCCGCATGCATGGTTGAGCAAATTCATGTGCGTGTGTCTGTGAAGTGAGAAGTGTGAACACATTGCACTACTTCATGGCTTGCATGCATGTGCCTGTCCCGTTTCACAGACTCGTACCTCTAATTATAACTTGCCATTATTTTGGTGAAATTGATGCTACCATTTCAATAATTGTACTACAATGGCCAAACGTTTTGCGTCTGAAAGAATGACCAACATCACACATGTATCAAGCTAGCTACCACTTCAGATTATATCCAACCTAAAAGCTTTACCATAGAACATGCACGTAATTGTTATTTTTCATATCTCTATCTATCATTCTCTTGTTATTTAGAGTATCCCACTACAACAAAATGTGTTATTAACGACAATTGTTTAATGGCAATAATTTAATTGCCGCTATTTAATTATATAATAAAAATATTAATGGCTAATATATAATAGCCACTAAAAGTGTATTTATATTACACTAAAGTTTATTATTAGCGACAATTATTTATTAAAAAAAACTAGTCCCACATCGATTAGAGATAAGATAATTAAATAGTATATAAGTGAGTAATAACTATCACCTTATAAGTTGATTTATAGGGTTGAGTTAGACTCTTAATTCACTATAATAAATTAATATCAAATCACCCACTATTACCAAGTTCAATAGTGCTATAAAACAATTAGAGAGCAACTTTCACCTTATAAATCTCACATCTCTTAAGAGATAAGACAATTAAAAAAA